GACCAAACCCGATTCGTTTGCGTGGCAAACAGCTGTTCTATACCACAGAGCCACGCGTCTACCCGAGATAACAGTGAAATTACGTCCTTTTAAGTTGGAAATGCAGTGGATGTACCTTTCACGCTTTACAAAAACACGCGTCCTGTATATCACGCTTCACAACAAAACACGCATTATCACAGTAATAACGCATGGTATAGTCGTACACTGCATTACTATCGGGCTTCAGAACATGCGATTACCATAATGACTTCATGGTTTACAGCCGGCCAGTCACTGCAAAAGGCACACACGTTACTGCGCCTGTTTGTGCAAAGCAAGTTCGAAAATATTTCACGGTCATAATATCTCGCGGTGCATGCTACATATTACACAGAATGCAGCCATATATATGCTATCACGTTGAACTCTTAAAGCGAGGCTTGGGGGTCCCGTAATTTTTAAGTAAACAGCCAACGCACCTCGTGACTAGTGGTTCGTGACGAGTTGTATACCAAGAGCAGCGGCAGCTTGCTGGCTCCGTGCCAACCGGGAAAAAAAACAAAAATGGGACAGCACAGCGAATTAACACGAGGAAGACAGCGGTGCCACTTGACCCAACGTCGCGAGATCGAACACGCGTAAGGAAGTCGCAGATCGAAGCGATTACCCCAACGTCATTGTGCTCGTAGAAACACGGTCCTTCGAACCGTCAACGCGGGGGCGAAAAAAATTTCGACAAAACAGATTGCGTCTCTCCCCCCGTTCATTCGGTCGAATTTCCCGACGGTAGAAAAGCGGCTTTGCTCTGTTTTTTAAACAAAAGCAGCGAGGCGATTTGATCACCACCTTATACGACTTTCGTCTTTATTTGAACGTTGAAAAACGGCCCCACTTCAAAACAGTTGCGCTTTGTAAAGCACTTGCGCCGAGCATTTCGTTTCATTATGATTGCGCGTCGGGCTTTCGCCACCAAACCCATTGCACACCCTTTCATATATATTATACATCTCTCGGAGCGCGGTAATAAGGTACAGCAGCCACGGAGAATTCGTTTCGTTTGCAATGTACCCCAATGTTACGGTTTGGTCGCTTCTTCGGGAGCGAATAAAGTGTGCGTTGATGCGACTGTATTAAAGCGCGCAATAATGTAACATACAGGTTGAGCATGGTCAAACAGCAGGTCACATTAATGCGCACTACGTCATCAATTGAATAATCTTGGTTGCCGATTGCGCGGTTATATCACTCATATTCAAGGTTTGGAAAACGAACAAACTTCAAAAGGTACTTGTATACGTTACGGGTTCATTTTAACTCTGAAATGAATCACCAGTCGAAGTGAAGGATGTTTTTATTGTGTGATCAGGCTTTAGAAGTCGAACGATGGAATAATGTCGGTTTATTTCGTAACTCAACGGCTGACGTCAACGGCTGCAAGCGTGACGTAACGTTTATCTATAGCAACAAATTTTACCTAAAAACGTCAGCATTACAGATTAGTTGCACTCGGCAATCTGAAGTCCATTAGGAACGCAGCAATTTAAGAAACAGGAAACTATACGTGAACGCGCGATCCATCACTGAGAATACTGTACGGCGTGAAATTTTCGATGTTGGCGTTTTCTGATGTTGTTTTAGGGGCGAGGCTCCTTATAGCAGCGCCCGTTCGTTTCCGATAGCCGTTGTAGTGTGTAACAACTATAACATTTCGACCTCCAAGGTGGTGCCGGTGAGAAACTTCCTCTGTGCGTTGTTGAACAATAAAAGATAGTGCTCGATGTACATGCCAATGGCTGTTAAGGGGGAATGAGAGACAGGAGCATTTGGCCTTCAGTCAACGCGCACGCCGTGAAATTTTTATTGTTCAACAACGCACAGAAGACAAGAAAGGGTTGCTACGTTATACTCGCTGGGCGTAACCTCCTAGGTTTTAGAAAGGTTTAGCGAGCGTTGGGCCGCAGTGCCATGAATACAGTGAACTAGCATATATCATGAACTCGAGGTGGTTACAGGTGGGAAGTAGACCCAAAGGGCAAGCCGTAAGAAAGTTTGCGTGTGCCACCTCTCGTTTGGTCCTTGGAATGTCCGCTGGGTGGCGGTGCTTCTATATGGGAAATAGAGTTACTGTATATGCTACCTATCTAAAGGTAGCATATACAGTAACTCTAATGGGGAATATTTGATGAAAAGATGCGAGATGGTGGTACTTGGAGTGTTGTATAGGTGGACGAACGGACACACAGACAGATGCATGGCACGGACGCACGGATGGCTGCATGGACGGATGAACGCATGGACGGACGCATAGACGGACGCAGGAGCGGATGCATGGACAAAAGCAGGGACATGACGCACAGATGAACGTGCGGACGCACGAACAGACGCACGCGCGGACGGGCGGATGGACACACGGGCGGCCACACAGACGCACGCATGGATGGACGGAAGCAAGAACGAATGGACGGACGGACGCTTCGCCCCCACTATCCATCATTCACTCCGTGGATATGCTGCCATTTTTTTAACTAGCTAACGAACACACCTACGAAAAGAAAAAGAAAAGCGGCAAGGTGATACTGCAGGTAAACAAACATTCTCTAAACGGTACGACCTGATTAAGATGGCCCCGAAAAAGTTGGACTGCTCGACGCGCGTAAATAAAGAAACGAACCAGTAACGTATACTGGCGCGACTTCGCGTGAACTGGAAACGACTTCCGTGTACAGATTTCACGAATGTGCGTGAAATATACGGGCAACTTCGAATTGGGACCATTGTGAAGCGCAGCCGAGGAGTTGGGCCAACAACAACGAAAACTGAATCGTAAAACTCTCGAGGCAGCGGTAAATGTGTCGTCATTTGCATCTGTTGGGGTGCGGTTATACGTTTAGCGAGGCGCCGGGAACGCGTGGCAGCTGCGCAGCCGAACACTCTGACATTGATGCCCGGACAATGTTGGCTCCTCACACAACGGCCGGATATCAATGCCGCTGGTGCGCGAGCAGTTTCGCGGTTGAGGTTGCGTTCGGCCCAAACTCGTCCTGCCCTGCAGTTGGCGGCATTGCGCTGAGTGAAGGAGTCGTTGTGTACAAATAGAGCTTACAATGTCATGAAGGTGGTGGGATGGCAATGGCGAAGCCAAATGTTCACAGGCTAGGACCTCTCCCGTCCTAAGTTTTTTCAATTCTCCAGCGCAGGACGTAGAGGGAACGGACGGGAAATATACCTCCACGCACTGAGCCTGGTCACCGAACTGTCCCTTTCAGAAACAGCACTTCGCTGCTATAGGTGAGTCTAATTTTGCGACAACTCATCGCTTCACTCTTACGTTTCTGTCCGCAACGCACCCACGTGTATTGTTGATAACATTATGCTACGGATGCATTACTCCAGTTATCAGTCGTCGTCGTCATCATTGTAGTTTTGACGTCTTATTCGTTTTTGTATTTTTTATTGACGATGTTTAGAGGAAACGTTAGTACCTTTGCTGACATCAGCGACTTCATTTCCTATGACAAACGAAACTAAGAGCTGAAAATACATCCATTTTGTACGCGATGCTGGTGGTCATGTTCACTTGCACCGTACGACCAGTCGATAAAACCAATGATAAGTTGATGGCTCCCGTTGCAGCCACCATCGTATTAATTGTCATTGTTTTAGGCCGGGAAAACACGCCACAAAAAAAACGTTATAAATGCGTGAAAAAAATCTTCTTAAAAATATATGGATATGTATAATAAAGACGTGCAGGGTAGACATCTTCCTTTTTCCAAATCAACTATAGTGTACAATGTTACGTGTTTTCAACATTTTGCCAAACCTGAAGAAAGAGTCAGCGCGCGTGAAAGGATGAACCGGTCCAAAAAAATATTTGACATAATCTGTTTCAATATAAAACATGTATGGGGACATTCCTCCGTCGTCAATTGAACCAATCGAGTTTCAGTCTTTTAGTCTGACAGGTCGCGTATGTCCTGGTACAGACTGGCAATACAGACCAGGTTAATAACGCCTTTCTTGAAATACATACAGACAACCACTTTTTCAAAGAGCGAATGAATTACTAATATGTAAATACATGACCGATAGTCCACGAAAGAAGTGGAAATTGAATGTGAGTGACAATTCACCAACCGAAGTAAAGAGGAGAGGACTGAGCGAGATAGAGATGAGACGTTTCGCGATCACGACGAATTCCTAGACATTCCGAATTTTTTCGTTGTTTTCACTTAACCACACTTGACCAGATGGCATTCGATTGAACATAGTGGAAAGTAAAATGTGCAGCTGGTCTGAAATTACGTACGTAAAGATGCCCTTATCGACCAAACCATTACATTCAAGGGATATTCGACACGAGTTTGATGGTGCCGAAATGTAATCAGAGAGCAATACATTTGCTAAATCTGCTCCATTTTACGCTGCCTTTCTAATAACGTGCTGACCCCCGAAGGGATATCCGGCACGCATTTGATGGTGCCGGAGTGTTACTGCAGAGCACTACATCTGCTGAATCAATATCCATTTTACGCTGCCTTTCTAATAACGTTCTGATGCCTCAAAAATTCAGAAAAACATGTAAACGCGCTTAATGAACGATTTTCTTTCTTCTCACGTGATTCACGTGACTTTGGTTTGACGGGAATGCTTTGAAGGCATCAAACCTGCTTATACAAGCGAAATGTTTTGCACTTTGACACCTACGAGCTGCAGAGTTGGAGACTCCCTGTAAACCCCAGCCACAGGTGGTACATTTCGAAGGAGCTGAATACTTTGGGATCACGTAGTTCAGTTAACGTGAACGTTAAGGAAATCTACGTGTTAAAAATGAAAGCGGATTTGTTCATTGTGGCATGCCTCATATTTGCGGCACTGGCGATGGACCACAAAACTTGACTTCGGTTTTTTAATAGACAATGGGAAATGTATTTTGCATTTATAAAAAAAGAATGAAACTGTGTCGATTTAAGAAATCGCATGTTCCGGTTATACGCAGATCGTGAGGACAGCCCGGGATGCGTCGAGCCTTCGCTCTGACCACCGGTCTCGGGGCCCTGTGTTTCGTGTTCCTGTCGCGCTACACGACCGTGCTCCCCTGGCTCAGCTGGTGGAAGTCGGTGCGCTCGGAGGAAGACGAGGACCTGGAGGCCAGCGGCTACCTGATCCGAACGCCAGAGTGTCACATCCCCGCCTGGGACCCGTTCGACCCCAGCGTGGCACACCTGTACCGCAAGGTGGCCGACTTCGTGTGCCCCGGAAGACCCTCCTTCCTGCGCGTCCGTCCCAACGCGGTGCTGATGGCGGACGACGCGCTCCTCTGGCGTTACTACAAGCTCAAGCACTCGCAAGTGAAGTGCACCTACAGGGAAGTGTACAGGACGCCCAACGCCCCGGCGCACGTGGCCGACGATCGCTACAACCTGAGTGCTCCGAGGCAGCTGACCTTCGGTAAACCGCTGAAAGTGCACCACGCCATCGTCAACTGCTTCCACGACCACAAGGAAGTGCTAGTGCAACACGTGCCTCTCGTGCCTCTGTCGCCGGAGCTGGAGCTGAAACTCACGAAACTCCAAGAGTCTTCCGAAAACTCGGCGGCGGTGAAGTTGAACGTACTCATGGTGGGCGTGGACTCTATATCAAATCTCAATTTCGAAAGGCATATGCCAAGGACCAAAGGCTTTCCTAAAGGATGTTCTTGGCGCGGTACAACTTCACGGCTACACCAAGATAGGTGACAACACGTTCCCCAACATAGTGGCACTGCTGACGGGGCACTTCCTGGAGTACTACTGGAACGAAAGTATGTCCAGGTTCACGTTCGACGGGCTGGCACTTCGTGTGGAAAGATTTCGCCAAGAGGGGGTACCGCTCACTGTTCGCAGAGGACGCGCCTAACATAGCCACTTTCAACTACCTCAAACACGGCTTCGCCAAACCACCCACGGACTACTACTTGAGGCCGCTGTGCCTGGCCACAGAAAACTCGGTCGTGCGCACCAAAGCAGGGCCGTCACTGCTGGGGCCCCAAGATGGAGATGAGGTGGTGTTCGACTACCTCGCCGACTTCGCAGAGGCGTGCGATTCGCGTCCTCACTTTGGCTTCGCCTTCGCGGCCCGCCTGACGCACTGACACCCTCAACAACGCCGGTTACGCCGACGCGCCTTCAGTACACCTGCTCGAGCGCCTCTACAGCAGCGGGGCACTCAAGAACACGCTACTCGTGTTCTTCAGCGACCACGGTCTGCGCTTCGGGCCCATACGCTCAACGTTCGTGGGGAAGCTCGAAGAGCGCATGCCCATCATGTTCCTCGCCTTCCCAGAAGCCTTCGCGCAGCAGTACCCGGCCGCGGTTGCGCGGCTACGGACCAATACTCGGCGACTCACGACGCCCTTTGACGTACACGCGACGCTGCAGCACTTGGCTTCGTTCCCACCGGAACATCCCCACCGGACGATGCACGGCCTCAGCCTGTTCCACGGGGTGCCGTTCAACCGAAGCTGCGACGACGCGTTCATCTTTCCGCACTGGTGCACCTGCCAGAACAGGACGGTGGTGCCGGTCAACGATCCCGGTGTGATCAACGCCTCGCACGCGTTGGTGAGCGCCGTCAACTCTCAGCTCGAGAGCAGGGCCGAACTTTGCAGCCCGCTCGAGCTCGACAAGGTCGTTGACGCGACGGTGTCGCAGCCCAACGAGAAGGTGCTGCGCTTCGTGCGCCACTACCACGACGTCATAGGTCGCGGAGTGCAGCTTGGAAAGCGAGTGACCGCGCCGCTGGACTACATGGTCACGGTGATGGTGAAACCCAGCAGCGCACTGCTAGAGGCCACCATTCGCTACTACGAACCGACGGAACAGTACGTCGTGCTCGGTGACGTAAGCAGGTTGAATATGTATGGCAGTCAGGGGGAGTGCATATCGGATGCGGTTCTGCGTAAGTTCTGCTACTGTAGGACGCAAGTGAACACTGATAGGGGACCAGGATGAAGCACGTCTTGCAGAGAAACAAACACTGGTCTTAAACACTGACGACGAGGCCCTATGGACGGCACCTCGTGTTTTCCAGCTCACACTTCACGACGGACGTCACGTGCATTCATTCATGCAGCGAGTGTATACGGAATATCACCTCGTGCTGCGAGTGTGGTAACCTCCGTCGAAAAGAGCGTGTGTATTGTCACTCACTGACACGACATGTCCATGCACCTCAGCGCTAAGCTCGGCAGCTTCGCGCTGTTTTTAAAAGACAAATGGAGCTGAACATTGCACGAAGTGTCGTATGCTTACAACGTGCATTTAAATGAGCTTTTATTTATTTATCACCACACCCATCTCAAACAGAACACGCCGAAATAATTTATGGACAAAGTTTAATTCTAAAACACGGCGAAAGAAACCTAAATGCTGTGGGCCAGTCAAGTCAATTCATCGAGACTTATGCCGAGATGAACCGAGGTGACACGAATGAGCTTAAAACTTGGAAGAGCAAGATCGACGAGGACATAAAAGAACATAAATACACAAGACATGGCGCGTGTTCTGTGTTCCTTCCTGTCCTCATCAATTTTGCGCTTTGAAGCTTTATGATATTGAACCGATTAGCCCAGCAACGCATTATTTTACCAAATGAACTGTAGCCATTGTTCCACGTAACCCTTACAATGACCCTTCCTGAAAAAAAAAACGCATTTACACTTCTAGTATTAATATATAACTATCGTAACCACTGTCGTAAGAAGTGTGGGGAACTAGCGTGTACATGCGTAGGATACACTCCGAGACGTTGTCTGTGATAAGACGTATATGAAGACGCAGCAATGAGTGGCAGTGCGTCTAGTCAGTAGGTTATGAATAGAATAATTTCTTATCTGAATATAACGAATTCAATAGGAATATTAAAGATTTTTGAATGAAGGCTACCGGCATGGCTCTGCTGTTTCTAAACACAGATGAACGAGGTTTTCAGGGATGAGATTGAACTCAAGAACCTGTAGCCCGTCAGTGTGAGAGACGTTTGTCTTCCAATAAAATAAGATGACAACAACAAGGCAGTTGTGTTCACTGCATGATTACGGGCACATTTTAGTGATAATTTACTGAAACGTTAAGGACTTGACAACACAAAAGACGTACGCTTGCTTCTCCACTTTTCTGGTTCAAAAAGCGGTGTCCGATTCTGCCGTATGGCTAAAATTATACCAATCTCAGAGGTCATTGTGATGCTCGCTGCGTGAGGCCGAAAGCTACAGTGGGAGACGGATATACGAAAAGGCGTCACGTTTAGGATACCACAAATTGCGATAACCTGTCACATGCTATTCGGCTACAAAGACTTCACACTCGATAACTATATAATATGTCGAGGACGATGTATCCGAGAGGAATGCCCGATTTTTCGAACGACAATACTCCAGACTGAACAGACCCAATCCAGAACGTTACCGAAGCTACCTGTCGGCTGTCTAGATATAAGTTTAATAGATAACCACGCTCACTTGTTCGGGTGTAGCTGAAGAAACCATTCTGAGTGACCTAACCCGCGTTTTCTGTCTTGTGGAATCGTCAGGCCTTAGCCGCTACATGTTTCAGAAGCTAGTCAACTGCCCTAGTTTTACGCCTTCCTGGAACTAAAATATTTCGCCGAGACCCCTGTTTAACCTGTCGAGGCATCTTACTATTTTGACCATAGAGGTGTTTTAGCGGCTGCGTACGAGATTACTAAATGAGAAATAGGTGGCGGCTCAAGCAGGTTTCCATTGGAAAAAATATATGTTCCAGCATCGACGGCGAAACCACAGTGAAAGAATCTGCTAAGAGGAACCGGGTGAATGTATCGAGCATGGAGGTCTTTTCACGAGCTAGCTGCGTCTTTGTGTGGCTTGCAGGCTTTGCACGCTGCACAGAATGCGTGGTTGTACGACTCTCGATAAAAATCAGCTGCGTAGGTGAATGTTTTCCCCATATGTGCACTTGATTTGCAGTCATGCTTTTTTCTACGCGTCTTATCGATATGGGCCGCTACCGAATCATCTTTTCTTATGTGCCCGTATAAGTGAACTTGTGAATTCACAGCAATAGTATGCGCGAATTCTTTCTATATATACATACCTGAGCATTCTAATAAATACGCTACGGCGTCCACAGCCACCACTGCTTCTGGATTTAACCATTCGCAAACTTAGTAGTTGTTTCACTACGAAAGGGCTGAATGCAATGTACCAACAAGAATGCAGGCTCACATAACCCACGTATGCCGAGTAACAAGGCAGTGCCAGTACGTGCACCACAGCTCTGCTTAGTGGACAAAAAACTTGCCGGTTCACACGTCTCTCCAAAGAGCACGTACCTCGTATTGGAAGGGCTGCTTGTACACAACAGATTTTTATTTATATTTTATTAGCTTTTAGTCAGCCAATCGGTATGAGCCACCGAATATGTGCACAGTTTCGGAACAAAGTGGCAGCATGAATATGTGCCGCATTGACATAATTAAGATCTAAAACAAAATCTCTTAAGTGTAGCTACACACACGTCGAAAACAACTCGCTGTGAAAACACATGTAATCTCAGTTCCTTCGTTAACCATCGTGACGCATCGCCTTCATGTTTTTCACATAACTGCCATAGAGGTCTCACGCATGGGCATTCTAGTGAGGCCAATTTCGTATTTACAATGACCATAGCTTTTCAGCACGACGTAGGTATAGGGCATAAATATAATAATTGCGTGAACATGAGCTTAAAGCCTTTCGTGGCAGGCAAAAAGAAAGGATTAGACGAGACTCCGCGCACGCATATGACGAAAGTGAACACTGCAGTCGTGTTTCTCTTAATTTCATGGAACCTAACACACTGGGCCGGATCGAAGCTTCATTTACATAGATATGAGTATGTGGGCTATATCTGGCAATTTCATTAATAGGTGACAATCACCTTATCAGTAAGTTAATTTTAGCTTGCGTATTTTATCCGTACCACAACCACTCAGTCGCTCTCCCTGTTAGAAACATGAAGCTTCCCACGTTGGGTATCTATGCGACACTAACATCGAAATATGTGTGATGTTATCACCGTGAATATAGAATGTTGTGTCGTTCGTCGCTCCGTTTCCGAGCGTATAGGTGATCCATAAATATCGCGCATAAATTTATCTGCATCATCGCCACTGTTATTGAGTGTTTAGGTATGCTGACCGTGCTCGTGACGTGTGGTATATGTCCAGTACCTCCTGCAGTATGATTTCAGGAGCCCTCCACTAAGGCGTCTCTCAAAATCATATGGTGGTTTTGAGACGTTAAACCCCACATATCAATCAATAAATCAATCAATCAATCCTACAATATGCAAATTACAAGGTTATATTATCCTCCAGTAATCGATTCCGACCAAAAGGTTATCGATATTGAGTTTGTGGCATCGACCATCATGATCAGTGCGTGTGTGTGTGTCTGTGTGTGTCTGTGTGTGTGTGTGTGCGTGTGTGTGTTTGTTTGTGTGTGTGTGTGTGTTTGTGTGTGTGCGTGTGTGTGTTTGTTTGTCTGTGTGTATGTGTTTGTGTGTGTGTGTGTGTCTGTGTGCGTGCGTGTGTGTGTGTGTTGTGTGTGTGTGTGTGTGTGTGTGTGTGTGTGTGTGCGTGCGTGCGTGCGTGCGTGCGTGCGTGCGTGACAGTGTTGCTTACAATATTTCCGCCATATCGGAAAACTCTAAGCATAAATGAATTCAACTAGATAAGCATAACGCACACAGGCCAAAAATATCGAGCGGGAATTATATCACGCAACTCTTTTCGAACAACCGGGTCATTACAGAAAATAGCTTCCGGTGTAACATACAAATTTACGGGTCTATATTTCAAAGCGGATCTGGTGTCAGAGAAAAACTAAGCAACCATAGCGCCACGAGAAATCCTACACTTGCGGATGTTTGTTGCCTTATAATGGTGAAGTTAATATCATGCGGCAAGTCGTTGCCGAGTAGTAACACATTAAAGAACGAAAACCTCGAAATAAAGGGAGTCCGCGGCGTGATTTAAGTGGCAAGTATTATTTCCCAACAGCTGCGAGAACAAAACCGAGGCGGATAACACGTTCTCTAAGCAGCCCATTTACTTTTTATGTGCGAAAACAAAAAAAAAAACACTCCTTGCCTTCTTCTTTAAACAGCCGCAAATGCGAAACTTCAACGCTCCATTAAGGCTTGTACGCTGCGGGGAGACTTGTTGATAATTAAAAGTTTCGTCCAACAACAGTGTACAAGCGGAAACGCAATTAAACGAGTTACGTTTTTCAGACACGTCAAACGCAGCTGTTTCATAAATACTTTTCTCCCAAACACAAAACTTGTTACACTATACAAAGTATTGTTCCTCTTTTTTTGCGTCTATACTTATAGTGAAAGACTTGTGCGAGCTAAGTTTGTAGTGGCACGCTTAGACATCAGTTTGATTCGTCAGTTCTCCTAGTGTTGAATTGACGGAGATCTCGTTAATTGAATACTTACGTCTCAAAATGTTGCAAGCTCTTCCTTCGGGCACAAGTTATTATGGAGTTTTATAGACAGCGCTGCAAATGTATGTTCCTCCATTAGTTTCGCGCACGACTAGAACCTAGTCAACAGTGTCAAATGTGCAAGTTATTTGTTGTTGATAATTGATCTGCATACCAGTCGACGATGCAGATACACAATGATATTGTAAGTCGCAAAACCGCCGTTTCTAAAGCATTTTTCTTCCCTCTCGGGCGGGAGAAATAAGACATGCCGTTGTCGTGCGAGAATTAAGGCAGAGAGAGAGAGAGAGAGAAACAGAGGAGGAAGGCAGAGAGAATAGAGGCAGAGCCGGAGCACATTGAAATGACCTGGGCGTCGGAAGAAATGCTCTGCAAATCTTTTCAGCTTTCGTGAGCCTCGAATGCAGAGACGAAATGCCAACAAGTCAATCTACCATCCCTACTTTTGGGATAAGAGGATATCGTTTACTGGTGTAGCCAAGGGGAATCCCGGTGGCTGAGAGTACATGAAGCGAGTCAGGGAAAACAAACGAGAAACACAGAAAAGAACCGGAAGAGGTAACACGAAATGAGAAATTAAGAAGGAACTATAAATGAAAAACATCGGGTGATCATGCACTCACCATCAAATATGAATGGCTTAGTGACTGGTTTAGCACTAATATTGCTCCTTGTAGCATAAAAAAAAAACCCTTAAGCGTTTCTATGTTGACGACAGATAGACCTTAATTAAGGTTATCCGTCGCACAAAGTCTATCGCCAAGGTAGCACGGATTCGTGCTACCCGGAGACCAGTTTCATCTCTCTGGTAGTGGCGTTTCTAAGAAGAAAAAAGAAAGAGCAAACAAGTGAAGCTTCCACCACCTCTTATTCATGTAAAAGCAACGAGAGCGTTCTTTCCATGAAGGATAATGAGCGACTAGATACACAGAAACGAATGCGTCTGTTTTCTAGATTGGCACTTCTAATGCGGGTGTACAT